ATGGCTCACTGGTTGAGCGTCAACTTATGAACCAAGAGGTCACGTTTCCATTCCCAGTCAGGGTACATGCCTGTGTTGCTGGCTTGATCCTCAGTGTGGGGCATGCAGGAGGCAGTCAATCAATGATTCTCTTCCATCACTGATGTTTCTATCTCTCTCTCCTTCTCCCTTCCTCTCTGAAGTCAATAAATTTAAATAAAATTTTTTTTACAAAATGTATTGCTATGGGCAAGAACCCATGTCAGATATGACTATTATTAAAACAGACCTGGTTCCTGTTTTCATTGGGGAAATAATCTGGCAGGGAAGAAAGACATTAAACAATTAATCATGCAATTACTATTTAATTGCAATAGTGAGAAGGCCTATAAAGGAGAAGTGTAGGCTTTTAAGAGAGGGCATGACTGGGGGCTTTGATCCAATGTGGGGTCTCAGGTCAGAGAATAATTCTTTGAGGATGTAATATTCATTGAGTAAATGAATAATAGCCAAGAAATATTACAAAAAAGTAACTATAGATACTACTCATCAATATATTACAAGATGGCATAATTTATATATAAAGAATAAAATCCTAATTTAAAATTTCACTTGTAATGATGAAAAAGACCATTAGTCAAAGTAGGGTTAGTATTATTCCTAGATGAGATCACCTAGTTTGGACATTTCATCAGGAAGTGCCGTGAAAGAGTATAATGCCTGAAATTTCACGAAACTCCTTTTTTCTATCTGCCAAGATCAAGCCCTCTGTTTAGTATTTTTGCCAACCTACACATAAGAGAACTCAATGTTCCCAGAGTTAGTTCTGAAGCTAGCCTCAATCCTTTGATCCCATCCTCCTGCCATTCCATTTCCACCTCCTGGCTTCTTCAGCACCTTCTGGCTGCACTGTCTCATTTGGCTCTCAATTCACCTGCTGTGTTTCCCAGACTTAAGTGAGCATTCCTCATCCTGGCCCTGTGACTCCTGGGATGGGCAGATTTTTACCAGGGGTCCTGGCATGGCCCTGAGACATGTCACCTCCTAACAGACTCCTCCTGGCACCCTTGAATGCACTTGGGCTCTGCACATTCTCACTCTTCCAAGTTCATCTGAGAAAGCCAGAATCTACAATGTGTGGTTTTAATATTTGAAACTGAACTGAAATGTAAGAGCTTCTGCATTTCTATATTACACATATGGGACTGTGGGGACCTCATTTTAATGATCACTACTTTCTGTTCCTTATCCATAGGCTTCAGAGACCCATCCCCAGCTTGGATTTTGATTAAATATTTATGCAGAGTAGAAACCTGGGCCTATCGGACACACACAGCAACTTTTACTTAAAGTAGGTTGCCAGTTGTGATTCATGTGTATGAACTAAACTGTGTAGAAGCTCTAACCCTCAATGTGACTGCCTTTGGAATTGAGCCTTTAAGGAAAATTAGTTAAGATTAGATGAGGTCATAAGAGCTGTCTTAGTCCATTTTGGTTTCTGTAACAAAATACAGGATGGTTTATTAACAGCACAGTTATTTCCCACAGCTCTGGAGGCTGGGAAGTCCAAGACCAAGTCACTGGCAGATTCGGTGTCTGGTGAGGATGCTCTTCCTGGTTCTTCTCACTATAACCTCTCACTACACAAGGGGCAAAGGAGCTCTCTGGGGTCTCTTTTATAAGAGCACTAATCCCATTCATAAGGGCTCTGCCCTTGGGCCCTAGTTACCTCCCCAAAGCCTCACTGCCTAATCCCATCATACTGGGAATTGGGATTTCAGCAGATGAATTGTGGGGAGACCCAAATATTCAGTCTACAGTAAGGGTGAGGCCCTGATCCCACAGGACAGGTGTCATTATAAGGAGAGGAAGAGATCAGAGAGCTCCCTCTTTTTCTGTCTCCCTCTGTGTGCACACAGAGGAAAGGCCATGTGAGGACATAGCGAGAAGGCAGCCATCGGCAAGCCAGGAGGAAAGATCGCCCCAGATACAAACCATGACGGCATCTTGACCTTGGACTTCTAGGCCTCCAGACCTCTGAGAAAGTAAATACCTATTATTTAGGCCACCCAGTCTATAGGATTATTTTATGGCAGCCCCAGCAGGCTAGCACATTGCAACCATTTGCTTTCTTCTCTACAACCAAGCTGCAAAGCGCTGCTGGATAATGCACGCGTGGAAAAGTTTAAACATGATAAAATTTTATTGTAAATTAAGGGGAACTAATACATCTTTGGGGACCAAGAGGGTGGGCAGGCTCTAGAAGCACTGTTACCAGACTTTTGTTCATCCTCCATATATCTTCTTGGTTTAGGTAAAGGAAGTGGCAGAACCATTAAGTTATCCAACCTAAACTTATAACTTTGCACGGGCTTGGATTGGGCCCTCCTCCCAGTAAATTCTATTGGGGTTTCATGTCCGCTATCCAATCCAGTTACCATTCCGAGTGCTCCCTCACTAGGCCCTGCCCCTCTGTTTCCTCACTCTGACTCCCATTACCGCATGTCCAAAAGTTTCATTACATTATCTAGTTCTTACTCAGCATGCACCTAGTGGAGGAATTTCCTTCCACCCAGCACCCTTACCTGGCTTTTGGCATTTCTAAGGAGGTTTCCTGTCCCGTCCTGAGAGTGTGTTAATGGGTCTATTTAGCAGTAAGCTAGATAGAAATTCTGTTCTGTTATTTGTACCTGCTTCCCAGTTTATGAAAGTTATTTTTCTTTTGCTTTCTTATATTAATAACTCTAATTGCCCACGCTGATATTTTGACTTAATATGCACGACAGTCATGAAAAAGAAGACATAATTTTATGCACAAGGAAAGTGAAGCCTATTGAGATTAAGGTAACTTTCTCACAGACACAGAGCTAATAAGTGGTGGGTGAACTGTGACCAGAGGCTTCAGTTCTTGCCCTGGCTGCTAGAGCTATGCTCTTCCCACCTCACAAATGAACAATGATGTTAGAAAGTTTTCCTTCATTGCCACATAAGCTAATGTTTCAACTGCATTCAGCTTTCATAGGAAAGACAAAAATAAAAATGTGAAATGGAACAAAAATGCAAAAGTAGTATGTGATTCACTGTGAAATAGATGTTTTAAGAGAGCTGACTATAAAGTTTTATGAAGGACTTAGATCTCTCAGGTCCAGGGAGATAGGAATTAAGGAACACCATACTTGTTTCTGTGCACAAGAAAAATGTCTGCTGCCTAAATCATAGCCCCAATAATCAAAGGTTTTCGAGATACATGGCTGACACACACTGTATCCTCATCCCAGGGGAGAGTTTCCAGAAGTTGACTGTCCGGATTTATAGAACACAACTTCCAAGTGGTCACTGTAGCAACCGTGACATTCTCCTGCTCCTTCCGGCTGAACCAGTGACAAGTCACATCACAAATCCTGGAGTTTATTAAGTGTCATCGTCTCTTGTTGGAAAGCTCTCTGAGGGTTTGGTGCACTTCTCTTGGGACGATTATTTGAGATTTATGTACTGAAACACCAAACTGCATTTTTAATCTGTCATCAAAGCAGATTATCAGAACCAGAAATGACAAGACTTAGCACATGCATTTTCAGGCCAAAGACTAACAGCAAAACTGCAACATATGTCACCACATTCAAAGTAAACATGATGTATTAATAAGTGAGTTTTCCACTCTCATGAATAATTATAGACTCCCTCTTACTAAAAACAAATTACTTTTATTTCCCTTAAGAAGATTATGATTAATTGTACAAAATTACACTTGTCTTTAATTGAATAGATTTCCTTCTTTCCTCTGGATTAATGGTGTAATTAACCCAGACAATAATATATATTATTAAATAGCTTGGGAAATCTTCCTCTTCAGGACAAAAGCTGGATTGGTAATGGCTACCATGCAAATACACACTATGGTCGCCAAGTTTCATTCTTTGTTAAAATAGCTAATGACAAATTGTCTTCCAGTGGTAAGTCTGTTTGGACTGTTATAAAACTAGAGGCCCGGTGCATGAAATTCATGCACTGGCGGGAGGTGTCTCTCAGCCCAACCTTCACCCTCTCCAATCCAGGACCCCTCGGGGGATGTCCTACTGCCGGACATCCCTCTCACAATCCGGGACTGCTGGCTCCCAACCGCTCACCTGCCTGACTACCTGATTGCCCCTAACCATTCCCCTGCCAGCCTGATCACCCACTAACCACTCCCCTGCCAGCCTGATTGAAACCTAACTGCTCCCCTGCCAGCCTGTTCACCCCCAACTGCCCCCCCACTGCCAGGCTGGTTGTCTCCAACTGCCCTCCCCTGCTGGCCTGGTCACCCCCCAACTGCCCTTCCCTGCTGCTATCTTGTGGTGGCCATCTTGTGCCCACATGGGGGCGGCCATCTTGTGGGAGGGTGTGACAGTCAATTTTCATATTACCTTTTTATTATATAGGATACCACAGACTGGGTATCTTATAAACAAACAAAAAGATGTATTTCTCACAGTTTTGGAGGCAGGAAGTTTAAGAACAAGGGGCCAGGAACTTGATCTTGAAAGTTGGGTGAGGGCCCTATTTTTAAGCAATTTTTGCTGTGGTGCAAAAGCCATGAGAGCCCTAGCCCGTTTGGTTCAGTGGATAGAGCATTGGCCTGTGGACCAAAGGGTCCCAGGTTCCATTCAAGGCAAGGGCACATACCTTGGTTGCAGGCTCCTCCCCGGCCTGGGGCCTGGTCAGGGCTCATGCAAGAGGCAACCAATCAATGTGTTCCTCTCACATTGATGTTTCTTTCTGTCTTTCCCTCTCTTTTCTACTCTCAGTAAAAATCAATGGAGAAATATCCTTGGGTGAGGATAAATAAATAAATAAATGCCATGAGAGCTCTGTGGCATGTCTTTTATAAAAGCATTAATCCTATTCATGAGGGGTGGAATCTCATGAGCTAGGTAGGTATGGCACAAAGGCCTGACCTGCTCATGTCATCATATCAGGCATTACAAATTCAATATATAAATTGGGGCTATGGAGGAGAATGCAAATACTCAGACCATATAAAAGTTTTACTATCACTTTAATAGAAGCATACTGATATTACCCAAATCTCACCTAAAAGGACACTGGACATAAAAATTTTCTTAGAAATACATGAAAGAAAAGTAAAGAGAAGTCATCTTTGATTGCTGGTATGAGAATGGCTTGAAAAGTGGACCCTGGAAGAGGCCTTAACCTCCTCTCCTGAGCAAAACGTGCTCACGCTGTGCCTGTCCTGCAAAATGTTGGATGAGGATACTTATGGAGCGTGGTTCCAGGAGCACCAGGAGATCAGCATTCTTCTTCAGAACTAGGCCACACCCTGCATAAGGTGTACAAGATGATAGAGCAGAACCTCCAGGTGCTGGGAGACATAGTCATTAAACAGAGGCTCTGGGATGGCGACCTTGACACCATCCAGTGTTTCAAGGAAGAAAATATCAAAAGTGTACTTACAGGGGTCAAACCAGACAGCAGAGAATATTTGCTTTGCTTGCCAGCTACTGTCTGAGGACATTCTCATTCTGGAGGAGAAGGAAATAGTGCGGGCACTGGAGGCCACTGGCAGAGCAACAAAACCTGCCACAGGTCAACATGGTTGTGGTCATTAACAGAGAGTTTCTGGACAAGCTGAGTTCCAGAGCAAGGAGCCCCAGGCACTGGTCCAAAATATGAATGTGGATGAGCAAGAGTCCTGGCATGAGCCACGTGAGAAGACAGACATCCTGTAGGCCAGGCGCATTTCTCTGACGTGGTAATCACTAGGAATCCAGCTGAGCAGCAAGTGGTTGGTGCACCAGAACAAGGATTCCAACACCCACAGGACAGCCCTGAGGTATGGTGGGGCAGGTCTTCATGGAACTGGCAATGTCAGGTGTGTGAGAAACTCAAAATCAGATGCACCTCTTTATGGGGCAACCACAGTGGGAAGGCAAAAAATATTCCCCAGACAGTGGCAACGTTCTATAACGCAGCTGTAAAACTCAAACACAGACACCTGACACAGAATACTCATCTAAGCCAGTTCTGACACACAGATCATGAGGAACTGTGCAAAGTCCATCTGAAGAGGACCAGAGTAGACAGTCTGCTGAACAGACTGGTGATCCTGACCTTCATGTCCCCGGTGCTGATCTCTATGGCATTCACCTTGGGCTTTTGGGACAAGATAATAAAATGCAAAGCCATGCAACCACCATCATGTGTCTGTGAAGCACATGTACAGTGTGACCACCAAACCTTCAGGGGCTTCCCTATCCTGCACAGCATCATAGTGCCCATGGCCATGTTCATCATAGATGAATTCATCTATCTGGAGAATAGCATCTTCATCAACTCGGACATGCAGATAAACCATGAGCCCTAGGACTTGCCTGCCAAATCCCACAGCACCAGCATCAATGAGAAGGTGGGCCAGGTAGGGTACATCTTCTCAGAGAAGACAGGCACGCTCACACAGCACATCATGGCCATCAAGAAATCCTGCATCAATGCCACTGTCTACTGCCCAGATGAGGAGGAGTCCTTATGTTAAGGAGAACACCTACCTCTGGAACAAATGTGCTGATGGGACCTGCTCTTCCAAAATGCTAAGCTCCTGAGTGATGTACACAGCAACAAGGACAGGATGGTGCAAGAGTTCAGGCACCTGCTGGCCATCTGCCACACAAAGATGGTGCCCGAGAAAGACAACCAACTGTAGTACTAGGCAGCTTCCTCTGATAAGCCAGTCTGGTAACAGCGTCAGAATTTTGGCTATGTGCTCTTGGTACACACATAGGGCAGGATCAACCATAATGGAGCTGGGGGAGGAATGGGAGTTACAGGTCTTGGCCGTGATGGCTTCAACAGCATCCGAAAGCAGATATCAGTGCTAATCTAAAACCCCGACAGCAACATCTACCTCTTCTCCAAAGGCCCAGATTCTGTCTGTCATATTTGATTGCTATTGTGAGACAGACTTGACAAAGTGGACGACAAGAGGCCTTAATTCCTTTGAAAAGGAAACTGTGAGCAGGCTGTGCCAGGCCTGCAAAAAAGTAGACAAGGCTACCCATCAGGAGTGGTGTGCAGAACCAGGAGGCCAGCATCCTTCTTCAGAACCAGGGTCATGTCATGCACAAGATGTATGAGGAGATAGAACAGAATCTCCAGTGGCAGAGAGCCACTAAACACAGGCTCTAGGACAGTGTCCTTGAAACCATCTAGTGTCTCAAACAAGGAAACATCAAAATGTGGGTACTCACAGGGGACAAGCCAGAGACAGCAGAAAATACCCACTTTGCCTGACAGCTGCTGTCCGAGATAATGCTCATTCTGGAGAAGAAGGAAATAGTTTGGGCCCTGGCGGCCTACTGGGAGAGCAACAAAACCTGACAAAGGTAAAGACAGCTGTGGTCATTAACACAGAGTTCCAGAGTAGGGAGCCCCGGTAGCCGGTCCAAAATGTGAATGTAGATGAGCAAGAGTCCTGGCAGGATCTGGGTGAACAGAGGACAGATGCCCTGCAGGACAGGCACATGTCTCTGATGTGGCAGTCCCTTGGGGATCCAGGTGAAAAGCATGGAGTTGTTGCTGTAGAACACGGACTCCATCACACCCACAAGACAGCCCCAAGGTGCAACAGGAGAGGACCTTTGAGGAACTGACAAGGACAGGTTTGTGAGGAACCCAAAAGTTGGACACACCACTTTATAGGGCACCTGAGGTGGGAGGGTAGAAGTATTCCCCAGATAGTGGCAACATGCTCCTACATAGTTGTAGGATCCAAAACATAGTCACCTGCTACAGAATAATCATCAAAGCCAGTTTTGACACAAAGATCATGAGGAGCTGTGGCAAGTTCCATCGATGAGACCAAAGGTAAACAGTCTCATGGACAGGCTGGTGATTCTGACCTTCATGTCTCTGGTGTGGATCTCTATGGTCTTGAACTTGGGCTTCAGTGACAAAATTCAAGGTCGTGGAGCAACACAAAGTTCTGAGAAACACACATACATTGTGATCACTGAGTCATTCTTCATTTCTGGGGCTTTCCCAATCTGCACAGCGTCATGGCGCTCATGGCCATATTTATCATTGATGAATTCTATCTATCTGGGGAATAGTATCCTCATCAACTTGGACATGCAGAAGGACGACCTGCCCCAGGACATGCTTGCCAAAGCCTGCAGCATGAGCCTCAATGAATAGCTGAACCAGGTGGGTTATATCTTCCAGAATAAGACTGGCATGTTCATCATGACTTCAAGAAGTACTGTCATCAATGGCACTGTCTACCGCCCAAATGAGGAGGAGGCCCTATAGCAAGAAGACTTCTACATCTGGAACAAATTTGCTGACTTGAAGCTACTCTTCCAAAAAAGTGTGGCTCCTGAGCGATGTGCGGGCAATAAGACGTTGCCAAACTTTTGGCACCTGCTGACCATCTTGCCACATGGTGATGGTGCAGGAGAAGGGCAACCAGCTACTTTATCAGGCAGCTTTTCCTGATGAGAAGGTGCTGATCACACAGGCCCCAGCATTACAGCTACGTTCTCGTGGCATGCATGCAGAACAGTATTACGGTGAGGCAGCTCAGGTAGGAGAGGGTGTACAAAGTCCTGGTTACAATGGCTTCAACAGCTTTGAGAGTGAGAGTCAGTGCTGGTCTGAAACCCCGACAGCTCATCTACCTCTACACCAAAGGCACAGACACTGCCTTTGTCACCTTTGATTGCTTTTGTGAGAAAGGCTTGACAGAGTGGACATGGTAGAGGCCTTAACCTCCTTTGCGAAGCAAACTCAGAGCATACTATGCCAGGCCTGCAAAAAAGTGCATGTGGATACAAACCAGGAGTGGCATAAGTGGTACCAGGAGGCCATCATCCTTCTTCAGAACCAGGGCCACACCCTCCACAAGGTATAGGAGGAAATCGAGCAGTATCTCCAGCATCTGGGAGCCACAGCCATTAAACATAGGCTCCAGGATGGTGTCTCAAGCAAGAAAATAGCTAAGTGTGGGTACTCACAGGGGACAAGACAGAGATAGCAGAAAATATCCTCTTTGCCTGCCAGCTACTATCCAAGGACATTCTCATTCTAGAAGAGAAGGAAATAGTGCAAACTCTGGCAGCCTAGTGGCAGAGCAACAAAACCTGCCACAAATCAACATGGCTGTGGTCATTAACAGAGAGTTTCTGGACAAGCTGCTGCTGTTTCAGAGCAAGGAGCCCCAGACACTGGTCCAAAATGTGAATGTGGATGAGCAAGAGTCCTGGCAGGAGCCAGGTGAGCAGAGGACAGTTGTCCTGCAGGCCAGGTGCATTTCTCTGATATGGCAGTCCTTTGGGATCCAGGTGAAAAGCACGGAATTGGTGCTAGAGAACAATGACTCCAACACCCACGAGACAGCTCCAAGGGACAACAGGAGAGGGCCTTCATGGAACTGGCAAGGTCAGTTGTGTGAGGAACCCAAAAGTCAGATACACTACTTTATGGGGCACCTGAAGTGGTAGAGAAGAGATATCCCTTAACAGTAGCAACATCCTACTACATGGCTGTAGGATATGAAACAGACACCTGCTACAGAATAATCTATGTCAGTTTTAACACAGAAATCTTGAGGAACTCCAGCAAACCCACAAAAAAGAAAGAAGATAGACCATCTGCTGAACAGACTGGTGATCCTGACATTCATATCTCTGGTGCGGATCGCTATGGCCTTGACCTTGGGTTCCTGGGACAAGGTATGAAATTCAAGGTCATGCAAACACCACTATGTGTCTGTGAAGCACATGTATAGTGTGAACACCAAATCTTTCCTCATCTTCTGGGGCTTCCCCATCCTGTACAGGGTTATGGTGTCCATTGGCATGTTCATTATAGACAAATTCATCTATTTGGGGAATATCATCTTCATCAACTTGGACATGTGGATAAACTACGAATCCCAGGAGATGGTTGCCAACCCCCACAGTACCAGCATCAATGACCAGCTGGGCCAGGTGAAGTACATCTTCTCAGACAAGACAGGCACACTCACCTCAGCACATCATGACTTAAAGAAGTGCTGCATCAATGCCACTGTCTACTGCCCAGATGAAGACGAAGCTCTATTTTAAGAAGAACACCTATGTCTGGAAGAAATGTGCTGATGGGAAGATGTTCTTCCAAAGCCCCAGGCTCCTGAGCAATGTGCACTGCAAAAAGGACAGGATGGTGGGGGAGTACTGGAACCTGCTGGCCATCTGCCATACAAAGATGGTGCAGGAGAAAGACAACCAGCTGAAGTACTGGGAAGCTTCTCCTGATAAGCTGGTGCTGGTAACAGAGATTCCAAAATTTCGGTTACGTGCTCCTGGCACACATGTAAAACAGCATCACAGTGATAAAGCTGAATGAGGAACAGGTGTACCAGGTCCTGGCCATGATGGACTTTAACATCATCTGAAATCAGATGCCCATGACAGTCAGAAAATCTGACAGCTCCAGCTACCTCTTCACCAAAGACACTCGCTCTCATCTCTGATCTCTCTGATCTCTGATCACTCATGTGAGAAAGGCTTGATAGAGTGAACACAAAGAGGCCTTAACTTTGTTTACAGAGCAGTCCTTGCTTACATTACGCCAGGCCTGCAAAAAGGTGGATGAGGAAATGTAGGAGAAGTGACACTAGTGATAATTAGGAGTTCAGCATCCATTTCAACACCAGGGCCACTCCCTGCAACCAGGTGTATGAAGTGATAGAGCAGAACCTCCAGTGGCTGGGAGCCAGAGCCATCAAATAAAGGCTCCAAAATGGTGTCCACGAAACCATCCTGTGTCTCAAGCAAGAGAACATCAAAATATGAGTACTCACAGGAGACAAGCCAGGGACAGCAGAGAATATCCACTTTGCCTGCCAGCTACTGTCTGAGATAATGCTCATTCTGGAGGAGAAGGAAATAGTGTGGATCCTGGTGGCCTACTGGCAGAGCAACAAAATCTACCAAGATGGCTGTGGTCATTAACAGAGAGTTTCTGGACAAGCTGCCACTGTCCCTGCACAAGGATCCCTGGTAGCTAGTCCAAAATGTGAATGTGGATGAACGAGAGTCCTGATAGGAGCCAGGTAATCAGAGGACAGATATCCTGCAGGACAGGCACATCTCTCTGTCGTGGCAGTCCCTTGGGATCCAGGTGAAAAGCATGGAGTTGTTGCTGTAGAACAAGGACTCCATCACACCCACGAGACAGCCCCAAGGTGCAACAGGAGAGGGCCTTTGTGGAACTGACAAGGTCAGGGGTGTGAGGAACCCAAGAGTGGGATATACCATTTTATACACCTGAAGTGGTAGGGAAGAAATACTCTCCAGACAATGGCAACACCCTCCTGCGTGCCTATAGGTCCCAAAACATAGGTATCTGCTATAGAATCATCATCTAAACCAGTTTTGACACAATATCATGAGGAACTGTGGTAAGGTCCATCTTAAGAGAACCAGGGTAGACAGTCTAATGAACAGGTTGGTGATCCTGACATTCATGCCCCTGGCACTGATCTCTATGGCCTTGACCATGAGTTTCTGGGACAAGGTGACAAAATTCAAAGTCATGTAAACACCACCATGTGTCTGTGAAGCACATGTACAGTGTGAGCACGGACTCGTTCCTCTTCTGGGGCTTCCCCAACTTGCACAGCATCATACTTCTGAAGGCCATGTTCATCATAGATGAATTCTATCTATCTGAGAAATAGTATCTTCATCAACTCGGACATGCAGTTGGACTATCTGCCCCCAGACAGACCTGCCAAAGCCTGTAGCATGAGCTTCAATGGACAGCTGCGCCACTGGGTACATCTTCTTGGGCAAGGCTGGCACGCTCACACAGCACATCATGACTTCAAGAAGTACTGCATCAATGGCACTGTCTACCGTCCAAATGAGGAGGAAGCCCTATGTTAACAACACCGCTACATCTGGAACAAATTTGCTGACT